TAATGAATAGAGGGATTTGCTCTAATATTGTTTGTAAATAGGCTTTCATGTCTGCATCTTATACAGCAAAGAACCACTAGTAAGAATGTATGCAATGTGTTAATTATTGAAACTGTCCTACCAATGTGGTTTGAAACTGTCTCATTGCTATTTGTTTCTCAATAACATTATGGGAAAAAAGGAGGAGGAAGAGGAGGAGGAGAAGGGGAAGGGGAAGGGGAAGCGGAAGGGGATGGGGAAGAGGAAGCAGCAGCAGAAGCAGAAGCAGAAGCAGAGGAAGAAGAAGAAGAAGAAGAAGAAGAAGAAGAAGAAGAAGAAGAAGAAGAAGAAGAAGAAGAAGAAGAAGAAGAAGAAGAAGAAGAAGAAGAAGAAAAGAAGAAGAAGGAGTCTCAAGTGTGGAAGCAGCTAAGAACCTGTGCCTATAACAGAGGGAAGAATAGTCTCTGGATTGGGAGCTTCTGGTCAGAAGAGCAAAGCTATAAGACATGTAAGAAATTGGAATAAATAGATTTCCTAGTGGAAATTAATTTGAAGTAGATGAAACACTGGTTGTAGAAGATAAGCTACAGAATGTGTCAAAGGCAAATGTTAGATCAAAAGTCTGGGGATAGTGGTGGGACTTTAACAGAGCCATAGAATCTTGAAGCAGGTTGATGTTAATTTTATTTTGGAGTCATGTTAGAATCCTACATACACTTCAAAATAATTGGAAACACTCCAGGATATTGCAAGGCAGCGAGAAAATCTCTGCTCAAAATAAATGTTGTACTGAGTTGTCCAAATATGAGAAATGAGGAATCATCATGGATTGTCCCCTCCCTCCCACTGCCTCTCAGAGTCACCACCACAGGGTTCCCTCACCCTCAGGCTCCAGCCTGTCCACCTCACCAATCCACTCACCTGTCCTCCTAAAGATCCTCCCCTCTCTTGGTGCCACTGAGGTCCAATTTGCACCATTTTATTTCCCTGGTTCTGTATAGCCTGTTTTCTCTATTTTCACCTAGTTTTGTTTTCCAGCAAACACATTTCTAAGCACAAACTTACCACAGAATAAAAGGGAATGAGATAAAATCATAATTTATGAGACTTATTTGTCATTCAAACATCCACTACTTATCAAACACCCACTATTCCTTTTAATCCTTATAATGCTTAAGAGTGATCCTTTAGCAATGGTGTGATTAGTCTTACTTAAAGGACAATTGAGGTTCTAAAGGGATATGTACATAACTCAGGCATCAGCTGAATGCTCAGGGAAGTTGACTTTCAACCAGATTGAAAGTAACAGTGAAGTTGAAGTCTAACAGTGGTTCTTAAGTCACCTAAATTTTTAAACAAAAAGCTAGGTAAAAGATCATTTAGGATACCTCCCCCTATCCCTCACCAGCCCCATCTCCTCACTCACATGAGGTAGACCTGCTACCACTGCAGCAGGCCATGCTCCCTTCCTAGCAAGCTGAACCATAGCAGGGGCTCTGTGCTTGCCAGGCTATGAAGAACCTTGCCCTGCTTTGTGCACTATGGTCTTTGCCCCTCATCACTTGTGCGAGCCTAGACTGACTTACTTTAGAAAGGACAGTTGAGATTGTGCCTCTGCTTTCTGACCTGTGCTCAATCCCAGCAGAGTTTTCCTCTTGACTACTGGTTCTATCATTACACTTAATAACAAGAGAACCTTTGATAAGACTCTATGTCAGTTTTCCCCACCTGGCAGTAATCTCCTTAAATGCACAGACTATATCTTTTTCAGCTACTGTTTCCAGCCCCAAGCACAGTGCCCAGATTAGAACAGATATGTTTGTTTTATGACAGAAGCAAAGGAAATAATACCAGTACAGTGTGATTCCTTTAGAAGCCGGGCATCTTTATCTGAATTTCCTTGTATCTCAGCTTCTTGGCAAAGTGCTTGGTACTTATAGATACTTGCACTCATAATCTCTTGAGAATGAACACATAAACACATGTTTAGTTTTTGTATGGTTAAACTACTGTCTTTGCATGACTTGTGTGTGAAGTCATTTTTGTGGACTTTTAGCAATGTGTGAAGGGCAATTAAAAGTATTCTGAATGTGCTCAGTGAGAACGTCTTGTGTACACATGAGGATCTATAGCAAACCTGCTCATCCACTACTTGAGATTGAGAAGGGACCAGGAAGGCACCATGGTTCTGATTCTGGCTTTGCAAGGTGTGAGACGCTTACTAGAAGTAACAGGAAGATGGCAGGCAACCTCCAAGCAAAGTTCAAAAAGAAGGCTGATGAGGTTCAGTGAATAAGTTCTGGCCCTGGGGAGCTGAAACACAGCTACATAGGACTCGCTAGTGTTTTACTACTGGTGTGATCTTTGTTTCTTCTTAAGATTTATATATGATGTTGTTTTATTTTGTTTTAAATGTTAACCAGTTTCAACTGTGGCGAGTGAAAGCAAAGACGTTTTGAATGAAGTCTGGGTTCCATTCTTTATGAGCCTACAGGACATCGCTAAAAGTGAGGTTAAACTGATCATTTTGGGCTATATCTTTCTGCAATTGGATGACAAAATTTGGCCTAAAGCAATCTCTGTATATAGTGATAAATATCCTAGCTGGTATGTAAATGAATTGAGACCTAATTTACAGCCATTCCCCTATGACAAATCAAGTAAAATCAAGTAAACCTTAGCCATTCATATAGCTGAACCTCCAGCCAGAGGCTGGAAGCTGCCAAAACATGATTATATGAGGCAAATACTGCACACAGCCAATCAGGTTGTTCCTTGATGTCACACGTTATCCCTTGGGATAGACACGACCCGTATACATGCTAAGGTGAGGGATTCAGCTTTAGTCTGAAGTGTTACGCAGTTTTAATTTTTTCCCCTCAAACTTTGTTAAATTTAACTCATCTCAGCATTTGTCATGTTTTTCTTTTTAAATATAATTTATTTTATTTCATTTTGAAGAGTATAAACAAAAACAAAAGCAAATAGATGCAAAGACAGAAACAGGGTAACATACAATACACATGTGACAGATTTTCAAATCAAGAATAAAACATTAACAATGGTTGTCATATTACCTATTTTCACCATTACATCTGTTGCTCAGATTAACACATATAGTCATCCAAACTGGACAAAAATTGAGTAATAACTCTTCCTTTCAGTAAACCTTATTTTTCTTTTTTACTTTTTTCTTTTTTTGTACATTTATCTTAAAGAGTATAATATTAATCAATAAGACATTAGTAATGGTGCACATTTAGAAAATCAATATGAGAGGCATTCAAACATGTTTTTTGTATTGCACTTGCTACCTTCAATGTAGTTGCATAGATTGCAGATATCAGCTAAACAGTAAGTCAGAGTGTAAATTCCAAACACCAATTGCTATTTTCAAAACAACTGATGGAAATTATTAGCATAATCATCTCAGCCATCTTGTATATATACTTGCATGATTTTTCCTCCCTTCCTTTTTTCCTCTACTTTCTCCTATCCCTCTTCTTCATTTTTTAATCCTTATGTTCAGTTTATTTCCATCTTCTATGTCTATTATGCCTTTCAGGTTTTATCTGTTCTCTCAGGTTCTTACACTAGGGAGACAATACAATATTTATACATGGGGTTCCGACTTATTTCACTTATGAGTATGTGCTCTAGCATCCACTTGCCTATAAAGGCCTCAAGTCTGTCTTTCTTTATAGCTGAGTAATACTCTATTGGATAATAATATATCTTTTTCACCCATTCCTCAGGGGATGGGCATTTTGGTTATTTCCAAGATTTGGCTATGACAAATTGTTCTGGTATAAACATGGGTGTACATATATCACTGAGGTATGACGTTTTCAGTTCTTTAGGGTAAATACCCAGAAGGGGTATAGCTGGGTTGAGTGAATTTCCAGTCCTAGTTTTTTGAGAAATCCCCACTCTGATTTCCATAGCAGTTATACCAGTTGTTTTGTTTTGTTTTGTTTTAGAAGAGGACTGGGCCAACATCTCCAGGTGACCTTAAGAGTTAAAAGATAGTTCTAGTTCTCTCTCTCTCCCTCCCTCTCTCTCTCTCTCTCTCCCTCTCTCTTTCACACACACACAAACACACACACACAGCATCTAAAATAGGTAGAAAACCGTAGTTACCACTTTACCACAGAAAATTGTTAAGGAAATAACCTACTTAGTAATAGTTGTGCTCAAATATTCAACTAGTAAGTTTCACATATATTTTTGCTTATGGATTATAGAAAGAATGTTGGGGAGGAAAACTTAAGTAAAAAGCAATTCAAATATAATAAAAATGGAAATAAAGTACTTCTTTAATTATATTGTCCATATAAAACTGTATCTTGATTTATATTCTACACATTTTGTCAATTTGGCAAAATATTATAAAAACACATTTACAATATATTGATAAACTCTAAAATACATTTTCTACAGTCAGTATTTATATAAACATTCTAAGGATATGTTTTCATAGAAACATAGATGCCTACATCATTAGAGTCTTCTTGTATGCTCACTGCAGGATAAAGTAGGACTTGAGATGGTCCTGTCTTAGGAAGTATCTGGAAATTTTTATTCTGGAATAAAAGGGCCCGCATCAGAGGGCAGCACTGTCAAAGCCTTATGAAATGTGGGCTCATGCGGACGACAGGGCTCGGATGCTAAGGAATTCTGAGATGAATAGACAGTCCATAAGCCACACTAAGGAAATTCTTTAGGTGCCTAAATAACCTGGTCTTAAAAATTAGGCACAGAGGACTATTTTTAGTACTTCTCCATTTATATGGAAGCATTTTGTTCACCTGTGGTGCATAATTTATTTATTTATTTTAATTTCCAAACCTGACTTTAAGCAGAACAAAGTAGGGCAGGCTGGGTCATAACTTAAAATATACATATTATCATTTGAAATATTGCATTTAGGCAAACTGAGGGATTCACCCTTATGTGTTCCTGTAGGTAGCTATATAAATTCATCAAAAACCACAATAATATTTGAATAAACTTGTACTTACCAGAAATACTGCTATAGATATTCCAACCAGAAAGCCTGCTATCACATCTGACCAATGATTTCGATATTCTGCTACTCTGTTGAGTCCGGTAAGAAAGGCTAAACACATTAATCCCAAGCATAGAACTGGCTTAGCAAGTCTGGTTCCTTTGGCTTTGATTGTGTTGGTAATATACATCTGAAACAGTAAGTAAAAAATATGACTTTTCATGAAGTTATTTCTTTCATAGCACATTATGTATATGTATACACACAGATATTTGAGACATGTCTATGTATATTTGGTTTAAATCATTAACTAATTTATGTAATTTTTGAAGGAATTTTCTTAAAAGCAGAGTTCACGTAGCAATTATTTAGTTGAAAGATAGGGCTACATAGTCTGGACAATCCTTATGTAATAATTGCTAATTACCTAGAAATATTGGCCACAGATTTTCACATGGTCTTTTCTTCTTTTCTAATTTTAAAATTACTTTTTCAGTATTTCTTGAATTTATATTTTCGAATGACAATGACAATGTATTATTAGAAATAGAGAATTGATATTTTTAATATTTCATTTTATATGACATTGGGAGGATACATACTTGATAAAACCAGAATAGCTAATATAATTAGAAAAAAAGAAAATGGAGTTTTCTACCAAATCAATGTTACTTTGTAATTTAAGATTCAATGCAATGCCAATATTTGATTTTATGTTGTTTTTCAAATTATAAAATTACATTGTTTAAATTTATCAGCAAAAAATAGGACAACAAAGAAAATTATGATGATGTGTGCCAACTAAAAACCAACAAAACAATGAATTGATACCTATATTTTGGCATTTTCACATATGTCAATGACAAATATATAGTGAATACATTGTGAGACAATATATGCTATGAGACAGCGTCCTCAAGAACAATTTGCTCCTTTCAATCTGATTCATTCCATAGCTCCACTTTCATAATTTAAATCATTGACTGCACTTGGAATGTGTAAATTTTTATTCCAGTCACTAGTAAAGTAATTATACAAAAGATGGTTCTGACAGTGCAATTTTAGATTAGATTTTATAGTATTAATATCAGGAAGTATCCAGTATTGATATTATACTCAGAAAAATATTTAGAAATTAATAAAATCACTTGACTGTAGTCCTGAATTGAATAAAAAAAAATACCTTTACCTAAGAGAATAAACCAGAATTAGTTCCTCATAATCATTTTAGAGTGCTATGAAATTTAGTAATTATCTTCTGTGTTGTTTTGTTCCAGGCAAAATATACAGTATTGTTAGCTACCAGAGGAAGCTATATGAATATTTAAACAGTGCACATAGGCAAGTCTTCACTCAAGCCAAATTTTGACCCTTTGCAGTCTCTCCCAGATCCCAGTTCTCTGGAGAAAACCGACGGCTGGCTTGTCTCCATGTTGTCTTCTTCCTTAGAGCTAGGTCTGTGTATTCTAAGGTTGTCCTCCAAAAGGCTCAACAACTTCAGTCACCGCGGGTAAGAATTTGTGAGAAGGAAACAAGAAGGATGTGAAAGAGGCAAAGATGCTTTCACCATTCAGAGAGAATAAGAGCTCTGTCTGTAGGCACAGCAAGGCAGGGATATCACGATCGTTCCAGTTGCCAGTGATGCAGCTAACAGAGCAATTAAGTGGATGACTGGGGCATAAGAACAGAGTGGGATTTAGGCTGCTGCTGGAATTTTCTTCAACATAGCCATAAAGGTACTTAATGATTCCTTCCCTTTGCAATTTTTCACATCTCAAAGGCTATCCTTATTAGGACAAAATGAATGTGGGATAGTCAAATAATCCGAATCCCATTTTATCCATGGGCAAAATCATCTGAACAATCAATATAGCCTTTCTTTCTTTCTCCTTCCTTCCTTCCTTCCTTCCTTCCTTCCTTCCTTCCTTTCTTTCTTTCTTTCTTTCTTTCTTTCTTTCTTCTTTCTTTCTTTTCTTCTTTTTTCAGAACAGGGGATTGAACTCAGGCCCTTATGCTTGCCAAGCAAGCACTTATTCTACTGAGCTATCTCTCTGGCCCCCTCAATATAGCTTTGATAATTTTTTTCTCCCTTCTGCCCAAAGGTCATCTGAGGTACCACCCAGCCTTTTACTAGGCTTAAGCTAAAACTCTCTGATAGTTCTTAGTTCTTCTTATATTGTCCTAGTGTCTCAAACAAAATTTAGAGAGCCCCCAAATAGCCACTATCTAAACTACTAAAACAAAGCACCTATATTATAAATATAGTGTGAGATTTGAATTTTCCTATATTAGATCTCTACTTAGTGTTTAGAATGAGCAAGGAAAACAAGAGGTGACTGAATTTCCAAGGGTTATGGGAATTTCAAGAGTGAGAGATTTAACTTTAATCGATGATAGCAGTGCTTAATAATGCACAGGTTTTTCTGGAATGTTTTCGCTTGTGCTTGGCAACTCTGGTACTTTAAATATAAGTGTTGAACCAATCTAATTGTATTATGCTTACAGAAAAACTATTAATCCCAATTTACAAAAGAGGAAATTAAGGCAAAATAATCTATTAGGCAAGCAGGGTACAGGACAGGAATTGATTATTCATGTTCTCTTGGTTTTTAATTCACTTATGAAACCATCTAGATTAACCAGATGTCAATATATAGATACATAAACACAAACAGAATGATGATATGACTGGAGCAGGGTTGTATTTACGCAATCTTCTGGGCCAGGTGAGGCTCCTTATTTTACAGGTTAACCCACTCAGCCACATACATTAGCACTCTTTATTCATTCAACAAACATCTCTTAGCACCTTCTACAGTAAGATGTAGAAAACAAAACAATTATTTTTTCCTGGCTAATAGCCTGATTCCTTTACACCTTTCTCTCTGCTTATACAAATATATAATATGGCATCTGACATGATGAATAATTTGAATCAAAAGAGATTGAGAGGCCTCAGAAGCAAAATTTCTCTCTGACCTTCTCCTGCTTCCATTAGAAACTAAAACAAATGGAAGAGTGCCTCCCTTCTCCGCAGAAGCAAGGCCACAGAAAACCAAAATGCTTCTTCCTGAAGAAAAATCAAGAAACACAGAAAGCTTCTTACTATTCAATCATAGCTTTTGTCCAATCACATTTCTACATGATTGTCCATTCTTTACTGAACCGAAGGATAAAAACATGTCTTCCTTTGGGAGGTTTTAGTGCCATTTAAAACTTGATGGAATGCATTTAGCACATGTTCTCTTGTTAACCTTTCATTTGTTATAGGAGCACCGGCCATGCATCCTGCACAACTTGTAGCCCCTACAAGTGTCATGAAGTTCATACATTACAGTCTGGATTATGAAAAGGATGCAGCTATTCCATTTTCCATAATGAAACAAACTTCACCAGGAGCAGGAAGGGAGGAAATCTGAGTAGATGCTCAGTTGTTTGTAATTTCTTGTTTTTGTTTTTTGGTTGTTTGTTTTTTTTTT